GATAGTAGGCGCCGAAACGCAAATTCCACGATATCCATAGCGCGCGTCAAAGCTGTAGAGGGGAGTTGGTTCAAGGAAGTAATGTGCAGGGTGGGACGGGAACATATTTGGTGGGGGTTATAAAGTGATAAAGACTGTTAATGGCGATATACGTAACGACATAGAAATAGCTTAAAACCAAATACTAGATAAGAACCAAACTCATTTCTTTCCTTCTTCGTCGCGTATTATCGTCTCGAAATCCATTCGACCGCTACTCTTTAGAAGCTCTTAGAAATGTATGGACTGAGTTTTTCTATCTTAACACCATTAGCATCAAATATCATCCAACCGCTAAACTACCCTGACATTTAACGCATGGTGGTTGTTTACATGCAGCACTTTAGCTTCGCACTCTATCGCGCGTATCAAACGGTGAACTTCAGCAAAATGGGGAGATGCTATGGGAAGGTCGGCTGGCGCATTTTCCGATGCAACTTAGGGTTGCATTCTTTAGCGGTGGGATCTAATGTTGCACAGGCCATACATTTTCAACGAAGCCTACTGTGTCACGTGCGCGGTAGCGTGCGGAGCTAAACTGGTAATATATATAATTCTGATAGTTGTTCTTCTTTTTATAGTTCTGACACTTATTCCTAATATGGCAATATTGCCATATTAGGAATAAGTCATAAACCTTTTACAATTTCTTCATACTCGCGCCTTCCTTTCCAGGTTAATGTTTCTTGTCTAGTAGAGCGTTATGCGGCTACCTTAGTATCTTTCATATTATTAGGTTGAAAGGAAAGTTCTGGCCGTTTTGACAGCTCATCTTCAAGAGATCATACTCCGCTCAAAGTGAACAGTTTTATTCAGTAAGCCCATTCGAATCAACACGTTTTTGCCAACGTGATACAAGTTTGCTTATTCCATTATTATAAAAGTCTGGCGGTCTGGATTCCAAGAATTCGAGGAAGGCAGTTTTCACGTCGTCTTGATTTTTGAATACTCTATTCTTTAAGAAGTTATCCAGATGTTTGAAAAAATGGAAGTCAGTTGGTGCTAGGTCTGGTGAGTATGGAGGATGAGGGAAGCCTTCGATCTGCAACTCGTTCAACTTCTGGAAGACGATTTGTGAAACATGCGGTCGCGCATTGTCGTGCAGAAGTGGTGGACCATGGCGATTTACCAGTACTAGCTGCCCCGCTCCTATTTCGCGTACATTTTATCAATTCATCCTAATAGGACTGTGCTGTGATGGTTTGACCCGGCGAAAGAACTGTAATGAATTAAAGGAATCTTCCGCGGAAAAAGCTCCGCCTCCATTACCACAGAAAAACGATACCCCTTAGGCCCCTAGCCTCATGAGCATAGCAAAAAGAACGGAACATAAGCGTTAGTTTCGATAATACTAATCCTACACACAAGACAAAATGATCACTCTTTCCGTGGAAGATTCCTTTAAGGTATCGTTTTCTGTGGTAATGAGGGCGGAGCTTTTTCCGTGGAAGATTCCTTTAATCCCTGTTGAAACCACCAAACTGTGATCGTTGTCTTCCTGACGTCCGAACATGGTTTAGGAAAAGTTTTCGGAGGTTCATTCTTGAATACCCACTGAGCAGAACGTTTTTTGTTATCATATAGTATCCATTTTTCATCACAAGTTACGATCCGATGAAGAAAGGGATCAATAGCGTTCCTTCTTAGGAGCGAACTTGCAACCTCCAGGCGTCTCAACTGCTGCTGCTCCGTGAGGTGATGCGGCACCCATTTGTCAAGTTTTTTGACCATTCCAAGCTGTTTAAGGTGATCAGCAATCATTGTATGGGAAACACAGACATTCTTGACGATCACCATCTTTTTCAAGTGCTTCCAACTAGCGATGGTCGCCCAGTTCGCTCTTTGTCTTCCAGCGAATCGTCTTCATTTCTTCTTTTGAAACCAGCGAGGAGCCGTTCTTTCCGATGCAGTGTCTTCTCCCAAGCCATGTTCACATTTGTGGTTGCCTCCGTTGCCGTTCGACCAAGTTTGAACTCATGAAGTAAAACTGTTCGAAAAGCAGTCTTATCCATGCTGCAAGAAAACGTTCCCATTATTTTCAAAACTTTATGGAATTTCGGGAAAGTGTTTTTTTTTAGAAGAGCAACTCTTTGTTTACCTAGGTAGCACAAGATGTCGATTGGTATAATTGAACACACGACGAATATCGATTTTATATGGCAAACGCGCGCGAACGGCCAGAACTTTCCTTACAACCTAATACAAAACCAGTTAGCGCAGCACGCGTTGCGCGCGCAACACAGCTCTGCGGCGGTATGGGATGGTGCGGTGTAAATTCTCAATTCGGCCCGATACACTACGAATATTTGACCACAATTCATTGCATGGGCAATTCCTATTCGAATGCTAATACAGTTTCCTCCAAAGCATGCCCCAAAATCAAACTCGTATGGATCTTGCGTACTAATACGAATGTATTGGTGCGAAATGGGCCGGCAGTAAAGAAAAAAGGAAAAGAATCCGTCGAAAACGCTTAGGTTAAGGGCTCACTCACCTTCCTAATCGGCTGTGCTAAGGGAATGAGAGACTAAGCGCGGAGAGGAGAGTATGAGGCGAGAGAGCGCTACAGATGAGAGGGCGCCAGACAACAGCCTGATAAGAGAAAAAACTGCAGCTGCTGCAGCTTACTTTGCGAGGTCCAGCGTTTTTGTCGGGTGATTTCTTTGCATGGGAATGCCACATCTGTGATTGCTCTCGAGGGTTCAATCCTATGGACGATCGAAAGGCATCGTTCATACGCCCTCTGCCTGGGTTCTTCCTTTAAAGGACGAATTCACGATGAAAAAGCAACCCATTTCAAATTAACCTAGGGATGGTGAGTGGTACACGAAAGAAGGAAGAACCATGAGAAACGGCCCAGAACCCGAGAAATGGGACCCCTTCCTTGCCCGTTGATTTGAGCATTGATGCGACTCTCATCGCTGTGCCCTCTTCAACACTACGCTCTCTCAGCTATCTAATCACTCGCCACGTATTGAACTACGGCGAGTGATCAGATGATCGGTGGGCGGAGATCGCCGGACCCGCCAGCTTTGAGGCATGATAGGTCGCCGAGGTCAAATTTTTCCATGCGAATTGCGCGTCAGTTCGCACCCTCAGGAGGTCCGTGGGTCCCTCAACTAGGTCAGTTTCCCTTTCTTCGACCTTCATTCTAATCGTGAATTCCTCCTTTAATGCACCTAAGCAAAGCATGGCAGCGCAATACGACTTTCGTTCGTTCAGTATGTTATGGCATCAAATGAGCGGACATCAGGAGAGAGAGCAGTTGCTGGACACTGAGCAAAAAAGTCTATTACACAAGGTGAGCTTGCTATTTCACTTGGTAGAAGGCTTTAATTAAGCTAGTGCTACTGTGTTTAACCCCTTCGAGAAAAAAGATGTTATTGCATTGGAAAAGGTGCAAAACAACTTCACACACAAAATATTTTTGCGCTGTAGGTCCCTTTTCTATTTCAGGATTCCTAAAGCTTCGATTAGAAACAAATATTTTGATCTCAACTCTCGAGTCACGGCGCATAGTATCTGATGTCTGCATGGTCTATAAGCTTCTGTTTCAATCCAATGAATTTGGCCCCTTCAACTTCTACACCACCACACACTCTCGTACAAGGGGCGGTCAGACTAAAATCCTTATAGCTAGGCCCAGAACCAATCTTAGAGCCAAAAGTTTTACATTCAGAGCTGCTAGCTCATATATAAAGATAACAAAAAATATTGCTATTCCCAATACATTGAAAAAGTTCAAAAGACAGATTTCTACTAAACTTCTAAGTCACAGAATATCCTAGTTATTTGAGATTCACCTGAAATCCCATCTCCATAATTGTATTGACTCATTATTTTTCTCACTGTGTGTTGTATTCTTTTCTAACGCTTGCCTTACGCAACGTAATAACAAAAAATAGAAGTACTGACAGTGCAGAGTCGAACACTGTAGTGTACATATAGGGACCACGTCTGGTTCTCAGTTCAAATGAGTAATAGCCTGAATATAATAAACCACAGAATAAGCGCGTGTTCTATAATTCTTCGCCAGTTTCGTTCGGGCTCAAGTTTCTTCTTATCTTAAGAGCGTGGTTTTTTTTAAATGCTGGTAGGCTTCATGACTGCTTCAAGAGCT